TGATAAGAATGGTACATGACTACATCCATGTTCCTTTTTTGCACTTGACGTAGATAAAATTTGTACAAGAAATCATTTTGTATGTATTTTGCTATATAAAATATTATAATATTTGTGACCAATTTGGAAACTTTATCTTTCATTTCTTTCGATTAAAAAATTCTATAGAAGACAGACATGAACACGTATTCTTTGAAAGTAATCAGAATATAGGCTTGAGTGTATATTTTGATTTTCAAAGTGATGTAGAGATTTACTACCCAAAGTGTGGTTGGTAGACTGGCAGCACCCACATCACCTAGGAGACTTGAGAAATGCAGACTCTCAGGTCCCATCCCAGATCTACTAAAAGAAATTTGTATTTCAACAAGATCTCCAGTGACTTATATGCACAAGAAGATTTGAGATGTGCTAATGTAGAGGAATGTTCTTTTTCTACCCAACTATAGAATAATCCCAGGGGAAAGATAAAACTACGCTAATAGGAAAATTTTGTTAAAAATGTTTAACCATGAATGTAACAACTTTTAGACATGATCCACTTAATAAAAAAACAAAACAAAAACAAAAACACCTGAAACATGTCACATTGCTGATGTATAAAATGAAGTTTGAGAATGGGAAAATGTAAATTAAAATTCTCTGTTACATAATAATCATGAACTGCTTGTATTAATTGCACACAATCTTTCATTGTTTCCAATCTAAGGTATCTTCTTTAGTAAAACATATACAAATGATGACTATTACACTGAACACTAGAAACGTGAAGATTACCTTAGTAGTCAATTATTTAATGACTAAGTACAATAGTTTTAAAAAGAATTATATCAAGAAACTGATGAATTCTCGTTTGATACACTTTGGAAACCATTTCCCAAAGGGGAGTTCATCCAGTACTGCAAATTGTTGCTTTCTTCCAAGTATCTTTGAGCAATTCAACATCAATGCTGGGGGAAATAGGAGGGTGAAGAATTAGAACCAAAATCTCCACTTACAGCAGACTGCAAAGTCTCGGGTTGGGCTGTGATTCAGAGTGGAGGGAAGGAAGAGCTGGCTGCATAGCTGGTGTTAAGAAATCCCAAGGCTCATTCAAGCAGCTCACTAGCATGAGGCAAATTAAAGAAAGTTGCCCTTCTAACCTTGACCGCACTATATACAACTCAGAGGCTGTGATTTCCTGATTCTGCTTCTCCTTCAAGGCTCTCCTTCACATTAATATTAGCCTGATTTCCCCTAAAAAGAACATGAAAGCTGGAGAAGTAGGAGAGAAGGAATTCTTCTGTACTTGCACTTGTCTCCCTACCTCCCCTACAATCTCTATGCCCCAGGAATGAGCTAAGGCCAGCCACACTTGCTGTCTACGATAGTGGCTATTATGCTTCCAAGTATAAAATATGTTGCAAAGCAGAATGTACACTGCTTCCCCTCTAAGAGCTAGGTCAGTAGACCTTCCCTTCTCCTTGTACATCTTCTTAGCTGTAAACACTTTTGGAGACACATGTTTGATAACCCATCCCATAGTTTGAAAAAGAGAAATGCAGGTGCTTTCAATACTTTAAAAACAAAACCAAACATCTCCGAGTTCCTTCTTCATCAGTGAACTGCTTGAGCAGTTCACAGGGACTGTGTATCATTCACCTCTGCATCCCCAACCCTGGCACAGTGTCTGGCTCATAGTAGTTGCTTAATAAATGGTAGGGAGTTAGACTTATTTCTGAGTCCTCTAGCACTGAATTATTAAATCTTGGATTAAATCTTACTAAATTGTACATTGAAATCTGATCATATGTTTGAGCCTACCCATTTATATACAGGCGTACCATTAGTTTTTCCCCTAACTTAATTAATTTCTCTTTTTTTCCTTTATTCATCTATCCAGGGAGTTCAGTTTTGGGAATATTTCATGGTAACATCACATTTCAAATAATACATATGCTAAATAAAATCTAGCTTATGCATCATTGATGAATTAAAGAAAATATCAGTATGTTATGGATATCAGGTTTGGGGGTGTACAGCAGACACAAGGAGTCAAAATGAGTGTAGCAAGTAAGGCAATCTGCCCTCACAATGAAACAACTTTCTCTTTCACTTATTAATACTGTTTTTTAATTTCTCTGCACCCCTCCAACACACTTTTTTTCCTTCCTCATCTCTTCATTTTCCTCTTCTCTCTTTTTAAAATTTTCTTCTTTACTAGGCCTTCAGGCTGAGGACCCACAAGAGTGATCAATATTACCTAAGGCATTCAGATTTCTCACCCTGTCTTTCTTACTCTAAGGATGGCTTCTGTTACCAAAGAAAGGATGTCTAGGTTCAAGAAAGTTATAACTGATCTCCCGTCTTTTGCTTCTCTCGTAATAGAGCATGTGGGATGGGGTCAGCAAAGCAGGTCTATATGGAGTCTCTCTATATATCAGTTTGCCAGAGTAAAATGACAGCAACCTTGTTGGTTGATTCAGATGTTTACATCATTTAAATACAAATTATTGTTTTTTTAAAAATCAAGATAACATTAGTCCACTCCTTATCTATGAATTGTTTATTGCACAAGAAATTAAATGCTCTTAAAGATATTTTTAAATAACCTGGTTTGAAATCATTTTTTTTAAAAAAGCATATTCACAAATACCACTGGTTTCTAAGACAGTTCCTTCTCTACATATGAATATAGAGATCAGAGAGCTCAGTTAATGACATCATCAAATAAAACAGACTTTACTTCTGTTGCTGGTTCATTGCCCAAGAGTTGTTACTTTAAGATTTCTGACACATGCTAACTATTTTAATTTCACACTTTCTTGGTAATTTTTTCTCTCCCTCTCTATTCTATTCCAAAGTTGCATTTCTATTCTCAAACAATTTCAATATATGGCAGTTTTGTAAGTCACAATTCGCACAGGTGTGTTTTTGTTATAGGCACCGTCCTAAACCAAACCAAATGTTTCTCTCAGTAAAAAAAAAAAAAGTTAAAACTATTAGAGAGCTAATTCTATTTTTAAATTATATGTAGTATAATTATCCTATCTAATTTGGAATCTATTCAATTAATATCCTCATTGTTTAAGAAACCTTTTTAAAAGAAGTGCTCTTAAAGTAAAGTATTTTATAAGCAGTGAAACAAAGTTTTTGAACTTTGGTGCCAAATTTTGCCCTTAAATTAATTTTTAAATACTTATATCTATTTCAAAGCTATTTCACCATTCAAACAAAATTGCCTTTAAAAATTAGCCCCAATTATAATTTTTCAGTTTGTTCTAAAGTATTTTTTAATAATTCTGATTGAGCAATTAAATACAAACCTGATACTTTTATCAATTATAAATCTACATAATCTTCAACAACACATGCTACTTAGGGCACCAATATTTATACCAAAAACATCCATGTGACTCACCTGATGATTCATTAAAGGGAACAAATAGTGAATCGGAACTAAAAACAAAATTCTCTTGACTAAAAAAAAGACTTCTTGGTCACAAGATGGCATTCAACTAGGGATGGAACAATGTTGACAAGTCACCATATTTAGATTTGTGAAAGCATATGATCACCAAAAGCCTGTAATATCTTCACTTAAAGCAGTGTCCTTGATTTTCATTATTTCCTATAAAGTGCTCTGAAAGCACATTAGTAAGCAAATCATTCCAAAGCTCTTTAACAGTGTTCTTCTATGTCCTATGCAATCCTTATTTTAGATTCTTATCTTCATTATCATAGTCTCTCTAACACTCATCTTTGGATCTTTGGTATTTTCTTGAATATACCTTTGGCACCTAGTTTTCCCAATCTGTTTCATCAATTAATGACAATTCTTTAAATGATATGCTCCATAGAACATAACCCCAGACACTGAAATCTCACTCAAACCTCAAAGAACATATGAACCATTTCAAATAATTTCAGGGATCTATCCAACTTGTTAAACAATTATCTTTCAAATTGCAAAATATAGGGACTTATCTAAACTTCACCACCAAAAGCATTCTGAAACATTTTGTCAAATAGTGAATGGTCAACTACTATACAAAAATCAGTGCAAAGTTTTGTCCAGGCAGCCTTAAATGTACTCTTCGATGAAGAAATAACATCATGTAGAATTTCTGTTGTTTTCACCAATTTTTGCAGATAAGACTCTTTAAAATTATCAACCTATTAAAAACAAATTTGGCCTGCTTACCCTTTTCCTGAGCTTCACAGCCTGTAAAAATGACATCATAAATAAAATGTAAACTCTTAACTGAAAGCCCACCACAAATTTTAACTGACCTCTAGAACTTACAGATAAGCCTATCTGCAAGGCTCATTTTATTAAATATTACTTTTAAGAGAAATGTCTATCAAGCCAAAAATAAAATAAAATAATAAAATAAAATAAAATAAAATAAAATAAAATAAAATAAAATAAAATGGATCAGTTTGGAGTAATCTGGTTGTTACATTCAGCAGTTAAGTTGCAATACGTTTGCCCCAACATGGATTGCCACCAACGGTAAGAGGAGAATGGTGTCAAACAATTATTTGGCACAATTCTTGACAAGCGAAAGCTTTCAGAAAGAACCTATCTTCCCCTCATTGTTTACAGAAAACGAAATTCGTTCCACCCTTAATATTCAAGAACACCACATTATCAGTTCAATGTCATTTTTTGTTACTTTCCACTAAGAGTGGCAGAATTTGGAAACGGGGACTTAAAAGTTTAAATCGGTATAAGAACTTGACATAGGTCTCCTTGTACGCATCATCTTATCTTAAAAAAAAGCATAAAAACCTTTGCCTGTAAAGCACTTATTTGCCGCTTTATAATATGTGGACATATTTTCAGTTTGGATGATACTAAGGACTGCTGAGTAATAACCAGGCTTTTCTCCACTCAGTTCAGCATGCATGTCATCTTTGATCTCAAGTGCACTGGTAATTAGTGCCTTATTTTAACATCTTCACTATAAACAGTTCAGGCATTTAGAAACAAAGTATCAATGAACTTAACGGTTACTTTAATTCATTTTATAAATAAGCAGCTGAGAATTTTGCTCCAAGTGGCTGCTAGTGTAGCCCATTCCATAAATGGCATTCTCTGAAGCATAAGGCACAATATGATATGAATGCAGCTCTTCATAATAAAGAGACTGAGAACAGCATTCCTGTACCATGAACTTCAGCCGTTTTCTTGTATCAGAATAAGCAGTCTTATAACAGGGAGCTTCTTTAAAGTATTCATAGCTCTCTTTCTCCGTCTCTAGATGTATCTTCCTCAGCAAATTGTTAATTAACACAGACCTTCTTAAGTAGGTTTCTGGGTCTTCAAGAAACCTGAGCTTCTCCAGAGAGAGTTTGAGAATGCAAGTCCTGTCCTCAGGCAATATCAGGTGCTGGAAAGCAAATACATCATTTTCTATGTTTTAGAAAAATGAAAACTAGAGCTTTCACTATTGACAAGATTCATACAAATGAAAAAATAATAATAAGTAAACCCTTACTTTTGGAAAATACCCATGGTAATCTTGATGTAAATCTTCTTCTTCTGCATATTTTCTCTTAAAGTAGGCTACTTTCGACGTTGTTAATGTATATGTTAATACTTTTGTTGGATAAGCTAAACAAAATAAAATAATTGAAGAAAAGTCAGATTTTATTGTGGCAAAGAGTATTTTATCATATAAGTTATCTTATAAAAAGAAACTGTTGACCCTAGAAAATAGAATTCTATCTTCATTTACTGAGCAACGTGATAAAGTAGTCAGGAACAATTCTCTTGTGACCAAAAAGCCTGTTTGCAGCCAAATGCCACTATTCAGATCCAAAATAGATGTTCCAGGTTGGACAATTATATTTATTTCCTTATGCATCTCCTCAGAAATAAAATACTTATCAATCCCCTACTTAATTCCATGCCATTTAATGTCAAAATATGCCCAAATTTGAAGTTGATTCACAAAATTAATGGAAAGAGGTAAGTTATTTTTTGTCATTCTATTAGTTAAATTACCTAACTTATAAAGAAAATTTAATGTTCCTAGGTTAATCAAATGGTTGGCAACCCAATTATACCCTAAAGAAATAATTATGTGTGTCTGTAGACAAACCTTATGATGCCATCCTCATAACACAGAGGTTAATCATATGGAAATGAAAGGTTTAAATAACATTCTGCCTAGCAAACTTGACCTTGGTATATAGTATCTGAATGTGAAAATCTTTGTTCTCTCCTTTAAACTGCTATTGCTATTGGGGATTCTGACTTGCTTAAGGAAGAACAGTAGTGTTCTGAAAGCCGATTTGCAGAAATCATTTGGTTTAAAGGGAGTTCCTAGTGTGTACTGTAGGTGGTGCTCATATCACAGAAAACAGGCAAGTTCGATCCTAAAAACAAAGGACAAGTAGCTTCCTAGTGAAAGCACTGAATGAATTTAGAATACAAATTGAGTCCTGGTTAGTACAGACTCATTCAACCTCAGGGGGCTGACCCAAAATAAATGCTCATATTTATACATCATCGATTTTGCTTTTAATCTACATCCTCAAATATTTCTAGGTGTTGAAACTATTTGATGCATAAAATGAGTAGTTTATTAATACTTATTAAATAAATTCATGATGAAGACATTTAATGTTTTTCCTCTGTCTTAAATTTAAAAAATCTTAAATATTAAAAATGTGCACTTCAAGAACTTGCTTGTCCTAGTTTTTCTTCCAATTCAGTGGCATCTGTATAACACTTCCTGCAGTTTTTAGTAGCTGGATGATTTTCCTAAAGCATAGGAAAAGCTACCTAAGTCACACCTAAAGCAGTCCAAATTTTCATTGATATCAGTGTGGACTGTAAACCCAAAGGAGTCTTCAGTTAGAATTGGCATGATTTATAAGGGCAGTAAGAATTTTAAAGCGCTGGTTGGTCTGACCTAAAAAGAGACACATGTACAATGATTATTCACAACTGAATCAAAGACAATAGTTGCTACTATATGTATGCAGTCTTGAATGCAATAAGCAGAACTCAATTTATATGGAGTTTTCACAGATTTCAAAAGGTTGTGGGGGAAAGAGAACAAAATGGAGTATATTGAAAACAAAGAAAGCATTACAGAATCCAGTTTTCTTAGGGGCTGTTTTGGGTTGTTTTTTGGTTTTGGTTTTTTTGTTTTGTTTTTGTTTTGTTTTGTTTTTTGTAAAATGCATTTTCTTATGTGTATTTTTAAAGAATTTAATCAAATAATTAGGTGAAGCTTTGGGTTATTCTGTGATGACAATTAATTATTGCGACTGAATTCTTTTTTAACTATTTAGTTGATGCCACAGTGGTTCTCAAATGTTGGAGAGCATCAGAATCATCTGAAGGGCTCCTTAAAACACAAATTGCTGTATCCTACCCCCAGAATTTCTAATTCAGTAGCCCTGAACTAGGAGCAGAGAATCTACATTTGTAACAAATTTCCAGGTGATGCTGAGGCTGCGGGTGTGGGGACTGAATTTTGAGAGCCTCTGTATTAGAGCCCTAGACAGGGAAGTAGTTGCACTACAACAGCAAGTAGAAAAGCAGACCATTCGGCCCATCAACTGATTGCTTTGTCATCGGAATGCCAAGCAATCAGCATGATTAATTTTTGTTGGTGGTGGTGTCGCTATCCCAACATTGGCTACACTGGCTTCAATGCTGTAGCATCAAACAAAGCCAGACTGCCTTTTAACTAAGTAGTGAAGGAAGAATGAGGTCACTTTTCAACATAAATTCTGGGTTCACATTAAGAAGTATCAATGACTGTTATTAGCATTTTAGCAGGACAGGTCACTGCCTTTTTTTTTTTTTTTAATAAAGTCCAATGGATTATCACAGTAGGAAAGGATTGATGAAAGACTTGGAAAGAAGAATGACTTCACCATAGCAAACATTTTCATCTATATATATTTTGTTCTTTTAACATCTGCTCATTTTATTTTCCAAAGGAATGCCGTGTCTATAGCATTTAAGACCAAATAAAACCTTTCAGTGAATGAAACAAGGCAGGACAGGTGGCAGCTTAGAGCACCGAATGTCAAATAAACCAAGGGATGTTCTGCGGAAGACGTTTTTAATTCATAGATCAAGACCAAAAAATTATCCTAAATGTCTCCAAGGTTCATTAATTAAGATCCTGTTTGGCTGCATTGGAGTCATTAGCCTCAGATACAGAATGTATCAGACCCTGTAAATTCTCAGGGGTCTAGATTTGTGTCTCAGCTCCATGGGCAACACACTTAGCCACTTAGTTTATTGCTCTTAAAAAACACCCCCAAGGGTTGTTGAAATGCTGAAAAGCTTTCACAGCTGGTATTGGTTTGACAATTACCTCCTTGTAGGCTGTTTAGCTATTTGCAATGTTTTTGGCAAAAATGTTTTTGGAGGCTGCTTTTAGCCACTTCGAGGCTAAAATATATAGCAAACATAAGTTCCTACATCTGTTTTCTTGGCTGGATTGAAACTCAAAAACTTCAGAGCTGGAGATCAATTTGTTGACTACCTGAGTCAGCCTCCAAAGTTTACAGATGAGGAACGTGTGTCTCAGAAGGGTTCCATGATTTACAATAGTTGTGTGGCTACGAGTTTGGGTTTCGAAGTCAGGTTGAAGTGGGTTTGAATTTCTAGCTCTGCTCTTTCTTGGTTGGGTGGCCTTGAGAAAATTATAGAGGCTCTTTACAAGTCTTACTTGTAAAGTGGGGATGGAAATAACACTGGCTCATAGGACCGTTGAAATAATTCATTGAAAATGACTGGCACTCTGCCTAGCGTATAGTAAGTGCTCAATCAAATCCAAGCTCTTATTAGTGCCAGTAGGCACAGAAACCTATCCCACAGACACCAATCCCAGCCTGGCCTCTTAGCTCTGACCCCAAGACTCCTTTCCACCACCCGTCCTCCCAGAGATACTAGATTGTAACTGGAGAGTTAAAAGACTACAAAAGACTATTTCAGATGGTCAAGGAATAAAATACAGTACAGGCGCTATAACAACTCCAGCAAAATGTTTCTGGATTTACTGCCACTGGTCACATGTTTGGGGTGAAGGAAAGGTAAATTGTTCTTGAAACATCCAGATAGTCATTTGGAGAATTAAAGTTACTCTAGATATCCAAAGAAATTTGCCTGTTATGATCCAGTAAACAGGTGCAAATCTGTTTATATCGTTCTCCCATAACTAAAGAGCCAAACTCAACCCAGCCTTGACATAGACAAGGAAAAGTAAAATGACTTTATGTGTTCATTTTCAGTGTCCTGAGTTCTGAGAACAGGATATAAATTATAAAACTGAGTTAGGCTGAGCCTATATTTATCTCAAAAGGTAAAATGGTTAATGCTGGCTTGGATATTCAAATTGCTTTTAACGCTGTAACCCCCCGGGGGCACATAAAATATCTGTGCCCAGCTCAATGTATTTCATAGTGTAAAACTCCAAGAAGCAACAAATGAGAAGTTACAGAACAGAAATGACCATCTCTGTCATTAGAGTTCCAGCAGAACAATTTATACACATTTTTATAATAAATGTTTCAAATGTAATTACAAATGATTGCTCAAGCGCTCTTCCTATTGTTCTGCTCCTGCCTCCAGACAACTGAAATCCTATTATTACACAAGTGATTTCATTAGGTACATGGCCCAGGGGCAGTACATTAAGGAAAGATCATCAGCAAATTAATTTACAAACACTTTGAGAGAACAGACAATAATAAAAGAACAAGCCCTGTCATGGCAATCCATTCTTTGTCTGAGATTGAAAAACCTGAGAGAGAGTGAAGAAGTGATGGGTTTAACGTATCTTCATTTGAATAACATTTCTATTCTCTTCCCCACAACACTTTAATCAAGAAACTGTAAAAACTGAGCTAAGATCCTCCAATTAGATAATGGGCATCTGTAGCCCTAGACAACAGAAGAGCCTGATCAATGGGGAGAAGAAGGTGGGGTCTAGTCTCAGATGCACAACTCACTTGTGTGGTGGACAAATCATGGGTCTCACTGATTTCCCTTTGCATGGTGCTAGCCTGGCATGAGCCTTAAAAAGTACATGTCCCTATCTGACTAAATAATGCTCTGCTAGTCGCAAACCTTGCAGACGTCCTTCCTCAAGGGCCACTTTTGTTTAGAAAGAGCTATCCCATCTGTCACTGTTAGCTGCATTCTTCAATCTTGTTACAAGGCTTAAAATACTTCAACAGGATTTTCTAGTGCTGTTCCATAGCACTAGTTCAAATCCCAGCTCTACAATGTATGTGCTTAGTGACTTTGGGCAAAGGATTTAACCTCAAAGAGCCTGAGTTCCCTCATCAATTAAATGGCAGAACAATATCAAAGTCATTGGGTTGTATGTAAATTAAGTGAGATAATGTTTTAAAAGCACTTACTCAGTGCCTGTCACATTTCCACATATTTTCTACTCTACAATAAAGGTTAGGTGTTGTGAGTGTTGTGATTTCATTTTTGAAATCATAGATATGTGTCCTATTAAGCAGCACTGTGTTTGTTATAGCAGGACATCTGTCCTCTCTTTGGTGGTAAGCACAGGAGCATGAAACATCCACAAGTGTGCTCAAGAAGGTAGACGGAAGCAACATTCAAGGCCATAAAGCTGCTCCTTCTGTAGACCTTTAGCTTTGTGATAGCAAGATTCCATCAATTTTATCCCTCAAAACCCCTTGCCTGGCACCCTTCTAGATAACATACTCTATGGAACAGAATTCAGTGCCAGTTTTAAGCTCCAAATCAATGGAACAATCTGTTTCTTCAGATTTATCATCCACTCCAAGCAAAAGATTAACTCTGCTGGCAGGTCAGAATTACCAACAAGTTGTAGCTCCTGGAAAAGTTCCTTGGGAACTTCCAGGGACAACTGACAGGAAAGGAGGTAGAAGAGTTTCCCAAGACCAGCAGCATTGTCTGGAACTGGAGTCCATGTCCCTCAGGATAGCCCCAAGCATAGGCATGGAATATTAAATAAAATAACACCCTTCCACAGCCTTCCTATCTTGTTCCACTGCTGATGACCTCTGAACAAAAGAGAACATTATTAAATGGGATATGACCAGCCATGTAATCATGAAGTTACCTTAGTTGTTGCACCAAAGCCTAAATCCTGCCATGACTGGGTCCTATTAATGATGAAGACCAAGTGTAGTAAGTTTCATGGGTAAACTTTGTGCTTTACCTCCCTTCAGCAGTGCATTCCTTGTTTTGAAGGATGATGTTCCCTTTCACTACACCTTTCACCTTGGAAAGTGGAAATGAATCAGAAAGAAAATTGGCAAAGCAATCATATTGTTAGATATAGGTTCCAAGAAATATCTTACCGATAATGTCTAGGGAGATGTTACAACTTCCTTAGATATTCAGGTTTGTTGCTCAGAGAGGAAGGTTTTTCAATCCCTTGTAAGTGGACCACAGAGATCTTTTGAAAAATACCTCCTCTTCATCACCCTCATTGTCTTCCACTTTGACTACCATCAGGTTTGGGTATATTGCCAAAAACATTTAGCCTGGTATCCCAGAAGGGTTGTAGAAAAACATGAGATGGGCTAATAATTAACTTTACTCACTAAGAATATAGGAGAATTTGCCCTGGAGTTGGGTGATTCTCTGCCCTCACTCATTGGCCTGATTTGTGTCACCACCCAGAATGGCTCTAGTGCTGTAATGTCCTTCATTCACAGGGTACCTTTCTTCTAAAGACTATAAGTGCTTCATTAAATTGCATTATGCTCAATTCAAACACTCCTCTTCATGTAATAGCTGGTTTTATCCCCCACCGCAGATATGGAGAAGTGAGCCAGAGAGCAGTAAATAAGCAGCACATGCAGACAGAATTAAGACTCTAGGCTCTTGAGTTGTGATTCTCTTTGCAGTATCCCCAACTTTTCTTGATGTTTGTAACCCTGCTCCCTTTTAATAATCATTTAAAAAATAACACATACCCCAGTACACCACCATGGAGGGGATCGCCTTCAAACCTGTCCCTTCTCCCCTTCTAAGCATCACTGATGTTTAGGAGACTCTTGTATCTCTACCTGCCAAGAAGACTTTTTGTTGCTCTTTATAATATGAAAAAAAGCTTAAAAAATTCTAACTATAAAGCTATATTATAATACTTAACATAACACTAGCAAGCCCTCAGTAGTTTTTATTAATGTCCCCTTACTCGCCCCACTAAGAAATATTGCAGTAAACTAGATGGCTCTGTTATTAGCCTGTTAACATAAAAGTAATTGGGAAAATTTTTAAAAATAATTATGTTTGACTAAAAAGGGGAAACATTAAAGTAATGTATTGACACTAGTTAAACAACTTATTAGAAAGGTGGGGGCATGGGGGGCGGCCATTGACAAGGATCAGTTCCTCCCCAAAACGGCAGGTGTACTTCTTCCTCAGTTTTAGTGGTGAATGTCTCTGGTCAGTTTACTCCTTTGCTTCTGGAATCATTATTTTATTTACCTTTCTCTAGGTTTCTGCAGCATATTGCTTTGACAAATAGAGCAATCTGAACTGGTTATGCCTCAGCTTTAGAGCTATTGTAAGGGTGTCGGTGTTCTGACAGCTAAAGCTAGCTGGCATGGATCCTCAGTGAAGAGCCCAGGCCTTTGGCGTCTTGATCAAACCTCTCAACATTTCTCCATGTTTCAAAGCATCTTCTAAACCCCAGGAAAGCAACACAACATAAAATTAAAAACGGAATGTTCATAGACACATAAACACTTCCAAATAGAATATATAATGAAAAACCAAAATTAGAACTTGATTTCAGTTTTAACCTGCTTGACCTCAGCCTTACGTAAGCCTTACAGCCCTAGCTACAGCCCTCTTCATAACTCGTGGTATGCACAGTTGGGGTTCCCATTGACAAGAGCGACCAGATTCTTTACTGCAAATCGGTGGGGTTTTTTTTCACACTCTTCCTTAGGATCTACCAATGTCTCTAGAAGTAAATGCTTATTTTATAATGATACCATTTGATTTATTCTTATTTATTTAAAGCTAACTGCCACAATAACATTTTCTGATGAATGACTTGAAACAGGTATGTTCATCAAAATTGCACAGTGTACATTCTACACATTATACATTCATGATAGAATCAAAATTAAAATTTAAGAACTCTTTTCACTTGACCTTCTTGATTGCAGTAGTGGTCTCAGTGAAAGGGCAGACCTGTTCATGTAAATTAAAGGGCACTGAATGATTTTAAACTCCTATGCATATTACATAAGAGATAGGATGCATATAAATTACTAATGCATAAGACTAATGCATATACATGAACCTATACCTGTGGCTGCTTTATTCAAACTTTCCTTAGATTGATAGCATGATTAGAACTCTACATACCTTTCATGGCAGATGACAATCAATCTTATTTGTCTCCTTGGATTTATTTATTATCATAAAATATACTAGTTATAATGGAGGAAGAAAAAAGGGGTGGTGGTACTTAAGGCTAATGATGGCTAAAATGGCCATCTTTAATGCTTAAAATTATTAAACATATTTCAATAAAGGACTATGGAGACTAGTACTTTTAGAGTCTCATGATAATCATAAACACTATACAACTAGACCAAATAAATTTTCAATTAGGTTTCTAAATAAAACGGTTCAACTATTTCTTTTTACAAAGAGGTAAAGTCAGGGAAGAAATGCAGCAGGCTCTATTTTTATGAATTTGATAGCAATTTGCTAGGCTGCTTGCCTACAGGAACTGCACATGGATAGCTCAGTACATGTGAAAGTTAAACACAGCACTGGAGGGCTGAGCACTCATTAAACGACTGTATTCTGTCTTGAAAATTTGGTTTGGTTTAAAACGCTTAACACTCATGAGTTTCTATCATCATGGCCTTAACGCAAATTAAATTTTTAAAAAGCACCACAATCTCCTTTTGCAACTTGGAGAGTTCTCTTCATTTCCTTCATTCAGACATGCACCAGTTTGCCCATAGCGCTTCCGCTTGACATGCTTCCCAAGGCAGGCTACCTAATTTGGCCCAGTCTATTCACATGGGTCTTAGGAAAATCTGCCAGCCCACAAATGTTCTTTCTACAGAAAACCTCTATTGACTTCTACCCAGCAACCATCTATATAAACAACCCCTTATATTGATCTTGTAAGTTATGGTAATGCTACATTAGCATTTATTTCTCTGGATACATATTTAAACAGTAATTTCTTTTAAGCTAGTGATTACCTGGTAAAGCTGAATCAATCTGAAAAGTATATTTCTAGGACAGCTTCAGAAAATCTGGTGAGAGTTCCCCTTTGCACAGCGAGCATTTCTCACAGCCTCAGGCTCATGAATGGCTACCTGAGATTTTGAAACACGGAGACAGATGCAAATAACATCGGAAGAGTCAGGACTGCACTGACTTGAACTGGTTATCAAGTCAGGAGAACGCATGCAGTAGGAGGACCCTATCGAAGATGTTTGAGGTGGGGGTCTTCTGGACCAGACAGATAAATAGATAAACCTTCAAGCACACACAATTACTTTAGTGTTCTCCAGATTGAATTTTAAACATAAGGAACCTTAACTATCCTAAGAAATTTGGAAATAAGTGAATAACTGATTTCACCAATTATTTATTGGGAGATTATTTTGGGGAGATCATCAGCAGGTTGTTTAAAAAAAATCAGAGTCAGACATACTTAATTTGTTTTTAAATGCCAGATTTTGTATAATTTCAAGAAATATTCTTTCTAAAGTAACAATCCAGCAGTTAACTCAAAACAGTAACTCAATCATTCTCTGTAAGACACACTACTTCTCACAGGATTTGAAACAGCCAAATGGTACTTTTGCTTTGAAGATAGTTTTTCTTTAAAGGGCCATGCTGAACTGCACCTTTTCTAAATGGATGTATGCTTACAGATCTCATCATCTTCTATATTTAGAGAGATGAGCTTTCCAAAGGAAGATAGGCAGCCAATGAGGAGGATCCCATCAAAAGAGAGGTGAGTTACTATGGTTACTTTTCAGGAGATTGAGTAACAGTGAACCGCTGCTGGCCGCCAAATGGACCCTTTCCAGAGCAGGACCTAAAAAGATTGTTGCTCCCCATACGTGTTGATTCAATTAGTCCAGACTACACGATGTCATTTTAGCCTTAACCACAGGCTTTCCATGGTGCTTACTGCTTCCAGCTCTCCTAGCCACACACGGGCAGCTAAGTCAAAGGAAAAACACGGAGGGCTGAAAACTTGCGAACACAAACCTAGTAACGACGGGCAGGGGAATCCTCGAGAACCAATTTCATGATTTAAAAAAAAAAAAAATGAAATCAGGTTATTCGGGACCACCACCTGGCCGCTTTTCAATCACTGAGGGCGGAGTAGGACCCCCTGAACAGTCCCTATTCTCACCCTCAATGAAACGGGTCTTTTCTGAGCCTCAGGGGAAGGCACATTGCTGGATGAATCCAGACATACCTTGCAAGCTGGGTCCACTGACCAGGAGATCGGCGCATGCACCTGTTTCGTAGAGGCGCGGGGCTCCGTGCTCCCTCCCGCTTTTGCGGAGCTGTCACTCTTCAGCGGGGCGCTGACAGCGGCGGCGGCGGCAGCGCGACAGCGACAGCGGCAGCAGCGGCAACTGCAGCTCGGCGGGCAGCCCTGGCTCCTGCAGGTCGGTCCCTCCAGTCTCTGAAGCGCCTCTCGCTCCGGGTTCGGAACGCGAGGCGGGCGCGCAGCTGTTCTCCGCTCGCATTGGACCAGAGGGAGCAGATGTTACCCGGTTGCTAGGAGCGTTGCTAGGAGGCGATGACGCCCCTCCACAGCTCGGGAGCAACTTTCCTGTAGGTCGGGTGCGCTGGCGGGGGCTGCTGGGAGCTAGGTTTGAGAACTGGAACGAAGAGGGGCAGCGAACAAAGAGCCCCAAACAGGGGGGGTCCTTTTCTCGCCGAAGTTGGGTCCCGGAGAGCTGGGGAGCTGCGGGTGGGCGAGGGCCGCAACTCCGTGCCCGGGCCTTCAGGCCCTGCTCCCATGGACCTGCGCAGGTGATGGGGGCCGCCCCCCGCCCCGCCGCCGCCCCAGTCAGGGTCACTCGCTGCAGTCCGGCCGTAGCTGGGTGTCCCCTGGGGTGATAGGGTTTGGGAATGGGAGTGGGACGGCACTTTCAGCGACTGAGGAAGCGGCAGAACTTGGTCAGTGCCTTTTAAACACCGAGACCCACTGGGATGCTCTGTGCCTTGGAGCAGGGCCCTGGCCATGGGAGAGATGGAGGAGTGTGTGTGTGACCTGGGGTGAGGCTTGTGGGATGAGGACTACAGGAACTTCTGCCTTCTGGGACTCTCCTCCCCAGTGTGTTCCTGTTTGTGTCTTCAGGTTTGCACTGTTGATAGATTTTGAAGAGGGAACAACCAACCCATGAAAATCGGAATCTCATCCCATTACTGGGTATGGCTGCCAATATGGTGCCAAAGATTTCAGAAAAATATGACCCGATGGGCTCAAATACTCCCTTTATGGAGTGAGGAAGTCTTCATTTTGATCCAATGGCTAATTAAAACCTCAGGCTAATATGTAAGCTTCTTTAAACTAAAAATATACAAAACAGAAGGTTCTTTTCACAAAGGAAAATGGAGAAGGTATGCCTGTTTCAGTCAATTATACTTTAGTTTAGATTTACCCAAAGAATTGATTGTATTGTTTCTGATATCTCACTCAAGGCATGCTTTTTTTTTTTTAATCATTGCCTTTTGCTGTTGTTGTTCAATGGGGTTGTCATTCTTGGAGGGGAGGGTTGATGAGAAGGTCAAAGTGGACAAATCCGGGTAGCCAGTGAGCCAATAAAGATAACATGACAAACTGAGAAGAGGAGGCTTGTCCAAAGTGGAGAGGGACTCCCTCAGAGAGGGAATGTCATTGACGATGGGTATACACCACTTCCCTTATTCCCTACAGGGTCAGGCCAGGGCCTGGAAGGAAGAGAGCACCACTGGGAATCAGTTAAAAAGAAAAGTTGCTGTCTTCGAAGCCAGGGCAGGGCTGCCGTGCAGTGTCATGTTGACTCCTGCAAAGGCAGACATTTTGCAAGGCTGAAGGGGCCACACAAAGTAGCCCTACAAATCTCATTGGCCGCTGCTTCCTCAGGCACCCAGTACCAACTTGACACCTGTGACCAAACTTGGAGTTAACAATCTGTTAGCCCAAAGATGTAAAAAGCCGATAACCTTGTGTTAACAATGAACTCGATTACAGGAATCCTTTAGCAATGTATATCAAATCATCACAGGTACACTTGAAATATCTTATGATTTTATTTGTCCATTATACCTCAAGGGTGGTCCAGTCACGCTAGCTTTTCTTTTCCTTGAATGGGGAAGGTTCTCGCTTGCCTCAGGTATTTTGTACAGGCTCTCTTCTTCCTTAAGGTGCCTCCCTTTTACCTGGCTTACTCCTACCCAGCTTTCATGTCACAGCTTAAATACCGCTTCCTCATAGTGGTTTTCCCTCACAGCTTCCCCCTGGCTAGGTTGGCCTCCTACTTACATTCCCAAATCATCCTACCGGTCCCATTTCACCATCATCATCACACCAGGTTTTCAGCTAGTTGCACCTTGTTAACACTGTTTCCAGTACAGAGCACACAGGGCCTGGGACATCAAAGGTGATCATGAGGACTTGTGGATGGATGGAGCCACCCTGCCTGGCTCAAGGTCCCTTGTTTTTACCTTAGCTATGTAGCTCTAAGTAACTGAACTTACACAAGCCATGAGGGCAGTCACTGGTTGCTGTCCTTTCAATTAAGTAAAGGAAAGGGGAAAAGCCCGTCATATAGAAAATTGTTTTCTGCCCTTTATGAGACATGTTGATAGAGCAACTTCTTTTTCTTCTTAAAGCATCTTAGAAAGGTCTCTACCTTGATTTTACTGGCATTGAGAAATTACCTCAGAATTTTTTATATATTTTCCTAATTGCGTTCTCTCTAGGTCCTCCAAAGTAAGTGTGATCTGAACTGATCTGTTTCATCTTTCCTTAAAATACTCCTCTATCTCAGGTTAAAAGTAGCCTCCATCATCACATGCTGTAGCTCTATGGAGCAAAAAATTAAAAGTTAAAAAAAAACAAACAAAAAACCTCTTTGGAGAGCAGCTAGCTAACTTGACCAATATGGACAGCACTTCTAGTATAGTTGATCAGAAGAGACCAGGAAACCTCCTTCTCTGTTGTCAGTATAACTCACCAAATAATTGCCAAATCCCTTCTTCACCGGGGACCCCCTCAAGAAAAATAACAGCTGGTGGAAGACATGATGGGAAGGTCAGAGTAATCTCAAGATCACGGAATGGCTTAGTAGCAAAGCCAGAACTAGAGCACAGGTATGAACTTAATCCTTACTGGACTACTTATGTCTGCAGATACAATTTTATAAATTCCTCAATTCCCCTGGCAAGTGATCAGAGCACATCTTCCACTAAATATTTTGGATTTTAAAATTAAATATTTAAATACCGTACAGTCCACCTTAGAATCCATCTGAATTGTTATCCTCTCACCTCAAGACAACCCTTGAATCTTGTCCCTCATTGAGATGACCACAGATGTAATGCAAATCCATCTCCTGCTCCCTATCTGTTTGCCAAACACAATGAGATGTTTCATTATGTGGTAGAATGCACATTAAAATTCATCAGAGCTCCAAATTGTCACCCAAGCTTCCTCTTGAACCATGTCTCTGAGTCTCCCTGGAGAACCCCAGGGCAACTGTAAAGAGACTATGGAGTTTGCAAGACATATAATGTGATTTGATTCATCAATAAAAGGTTACTCAAGATTTTTTTTAAATTATTATAAGAGACTTTAAGAGTCATAGTCATGGATAACCATCTCAATTATTTTAACATTTAAAGATGGGTAAATCTCTGTTGAAGGAATGTCAGAAATAGCAATCGTTTGTCAAGTTTTTGGTTCTGCAGATGATTTACTTTAAAACTCTATTCCCTCTGCAATATTCTGTTTCTGCTCACAATTTCATAGGACTTGCTTTGGTGTTTTCAGCAGGTTACATATGAATGTAGTGCACATACCCATGTAGAAATGCCTCACTATACTCAGGGCCATCAGCTCTGAGTGAGCAATTAAAATTCTCAGTCAGCCCATAATGTTCCAGTTCCACCATGGGTTAGGAAAAACTGAAGCAACAAATGAGCTTACAGTTTGCTGGTTTTCCTTAAATAATTGCCACTCCTACATTTGAAATAAGACAGTTTTTTAAAAAGGAAAAAAAATGTGTGTGCTCCTGTGTAGAAGCTTCTCACCAAATGAATATTCATTTTCCTGTACATACAAATAAACTACAATCCCCAGCCTTCTTAAATATAGGTGGAGCCATGTGACTCATTCTGACCAAAGGAGTTTATTTTTTTTTAATAATTGATTATGTTATGTTAGTCACCATACAATACATCATTAGTTTCTGATGTGGTGATCCACGATCCATTGTTTGCATATAACACCCAGTGCTCCACACAGAACGTGCCCTCCTTAATACCCATCACCGGGCTAACCAATCCCCCCACCGTCCCTCCCCTCTAGAACCCTCAGTTTATTTCTCGGAGTCCATAGTCTCTAGGGTTTGTCTTCCCCTTCCTTTTTCCCTTCCTTCTCCTAATGTCCTCCATGCTATTCCTTATGTTCCACAAGTAAGTGAAACCATAGGATAATTGACTTTCTCTGCTTGACTTATCTCACTTAGCATAATCTCCTCCAGTCCCATCCATGTTGATGTAAAAGCTGGGTATTCATCCTTTCTGACGGCTGAGTAATATCCCATTGTATATATGGACCACATCTACTTTATCGTCTGTTGAAGGGCATCTCGGCTCCTTCCACAGTTTGGCTGTTGCGGACATTGCTGCTATGAACACTGGGGTGCATATGGCCCTTCTTTTCACTACATCTGTGTCTTTGGGGTAAATACCCAGTAGTGCAATTGCTGGCTCGTAGGGTAGCTCTATTTCTAACTTTTTGAGGAACTTCCACAGTTTTCCAAAGTGGCTGTACCAACTTGCATTCCCACCAACAGTGTAAGAGGGTTGCCCTTTCTCCACAACCTCTCCAACATTTGCTGTTTACAGAAGTGGTGGTCACTGCCTCTAACCCTGGTCCCTTAACTGTACATTTGATTCTCCTGCTTCTTCTTCCTCCTCCATTTGCATGGCCATATATTCCTTCAGAGGCCCTAAGAACTCTGGGATGGCCCTCAGTCCCTAAGATGCTGCTAAGAAAGAAAGCTGCATGGGCAAAAAAGCATCTTAGTGAGAAATAAACCTATCCTATGTGGACTCACTGACACTTAGGGTTGTTTATTATAACAAGTTGCATTAATTACTTCAATTAATACAATTTGCAAAAATGGTAAAAATAGATTTTTTGAAACATCTAGAGACTTGTTTGTTTGTTTGTGGGATGTCGATGATGTTTTTACTGTTATGGAGGTCTGGCCATAATAGCCCTGCCCTTGTATTTCTAGCTCACTGCATCAGAGCCTTGTAAGCCTGTTCACACTGAGTATACACAAAGGGGCCAGGACTCCAGATAAAAGCCTCTCTGATGAACAATTACCTACCCTCTTGTACAGGAATACCTACATTTTGCCTTCTCAGAATCCTCTTCTGATGCAATTTAGTTATTTCAGGTGATCTTTATGTATATATAGCTCCTTACTTACCCAATATTCACCACTCTAATATTTGAGTTGAACTA